CTCATCCACCCAACTAAGCAATGAAAAAAAAAAAATGACTACAATCTCTCGTTGAAGCATATATGTACCTACTCATTAACCACATTTTAATTTTGTAAACTTATGTAAACAGTTAACGAAGTAAATGAAATAAAAATGGAGGTGAAATCTATTTGTTTATAAATACATACTTATTAATAAACAAGTTCATACATACATACATTCATACATACATACATAATATACATACATACATACATACATACAGTCTGATACTATTACAATTAAAATATTTCCGTTTCTATACATACTTATTGACGCTTGAAAAACAAACGTGACTATTATAAGCGACAATAACTGCTTTGTACATAAATGATAGGCAATAACCATATTCGATGCGCAAAAAAAAGAATACTAGGTCTATTAAAATCATTTCAATCCTACAGCTAGATTCGTTAAAATATAACTTTTTTCAGGTATTTCAACTTTAAATTGGTCTACAGTAAAGTTCACGCATTGTCGCTTAGTCACGTTTGCCTTTCAAGCGTCGATATATTAACATGCATAGTACATTAGTGAAAAGAGATGATTGAATGTAAATTTTAAATGTGAATTTTAAACCAGTTTATTACGTATTTGGAGTAGAAAAGAGCTGATAAAATGAAAGATTAACGAATGTCAAACGCAAGTGACAACTGACGTGGCAATGACGATGACAAATTGTTTTTATAATGAGCGATTAAGCTTAATAATTGACATTTTAAATTCTGATCTGTGATTTTCGATAAAAGCGAAAAAAAGAGCTTTAAATAAGACTTTTAAATTTCGTAAATGTAATACTGCAATGCTGGCGGCACTGGCTGGCGTGAAAAACCGATAAAGTAACTTCAATCGGAGCTTTTTTGACAGCACTCAAAAATCCTAAAGTTATTCAAGTGGGGTAACGTATGGTGAAATAAAAATGGCTTGATTTTAATTTTTTTGAGTAAAATTATAGCTTTTTTGTATTGTGACAGAAAATTGCAGTTTGGTGATCTCTTTTATTGCGTTAATAGGCAGACGAGCATTTGGCCACTTGATGGTGAGTGGTTACCGTTGCTCAAGGTCGTCAGTAATGTTAGGGATGCAACCGAGTCGCTGCCTACCTCTAAGGACGGAGAGTCCTTAGAACATCATGAAACATCCTTCGAAAAAAGACATGACCCAGCGCTCGAGAAAACCCTTGGAGGGGGGTTTATTTCAAAGCCAAATGGTATGTGGTAGAGCTGTTGACAACGCTGATATCGCCATCCGATTTTTACGGCGAGATTGGAGTGTAATAATAATTTAGTATTATAGATGGGGATCTAACCATCTAAGTAATAAAAAAAAACCCACATGTTTTAGTAATCTTTTTTATTGCTTAGATGGGTGGACGAGTCCACGTTCCACCTGGTGTTAAGTGGTTACCGGAGCCTATAGGCGTAAATACAACCATTCACCACGAGACATGTGTTCTAAGAACTCAGTTTTTACAGTATAACGACTGTACCCCCCCCCCCCCCCACCCTTCAAACCGAAACGCATTACTGCTTACGGAAGAAATAGGCAGGGTGGTGGTACCTACCCGCGCGGATTCACAAGACCTAGGTAACCCGTAAAGTTTAGTATTTACACATTAGTAATAGGCAGGTTTATTTATCGGCGTAAGTTCTCGATACGCCTTATCACTTCCAAAAACATAACGTTATTACTTTGAAACCAATTTCGTCTCCAAAATCAAAGAAGAAACAAGTTTCCCGAAACGCCTTTCGTTTACGCTTTCCGATGGTTCGATCATCGTTCGAACACAATCAAACAAAGCTGAAAGCAATTACAAGTTCTACATACGAAACAAGAAGAAATACTTTGAAAAAAAAAAAAAAACTTATTCTCCGAGAACGGATGCCGAAAAAGGTATCATTTATGTTTCGACCGTTCTTCACAAGTAACAAGAAGACAAAACTAACAAATCCATTCTTATCGAGCTCAATATTCCGATGGTCAGCTCTATATGCGCGCGGAGGAGTTTCGAGTTATATGGGGACATTACCAGAAAGAGCGGTGACAATTTAGAAAAGTTGCAAAGTTGTTGGTAACAGGCAAGGTCGGAAGAAGGCCCAAAGGCTCAATGTGCTGGTTGGATCTGATACACTCTTTTCACAACACGATGCCATCCGCATCCACGATGCCATCCGCACAACCGAGGATAGGCAGGGCTGGCGCAGCATAATCCAGGAGGGAGTTATCTTAATAAATTATGAAATTGGTACAAATATACATCTTATATGGTATACTGGTGGTAGCGAGTATTGTAAGCCTGCACAAGTAGGTACCATCGGGTAGTTAAGTAAGTACCTTGCCAATTTATGTTGTGCCTTTCGGTTTGAAGCCGTTGTTGTATAAAACTGAGACTTAGAACTCATGTCCTAAGGTCGATTTGTGCCTTTTTGGTTTGAAGCCGTTTTTGTATAAAACTGAGACTTGGAACTCATGTCCTAAGGTCGATTTGTGCCTTTCGGTTTGAAGCCGTTGTTGTATAAAACTGAGACTTGGAACTCATGTTCTAAGGTCGATTTGTGCTTTTCGGTTTGAAGCCGTTGTTGTATAAAAGTGAGACTTGGAACTCATGTCCTAAGGTCGATGGCGGCATTTACGTTGTTGATGTCTATGGGCTGGTAATCAGTTAATACTAGGTCAGCCGTGAGCTCGCGCACTAATCTTATCTTATTTTATCTTATACCTTTAAACGAGCAATTCTTCTATATATAAGTATATATAATCTGAATCTCGGAAACGGCTCCAACGATTTTTATAAAATTTAGTAGGTATACAGGGGATTTCGGGGGCGATAAATCGATCTAGCTACGATTTATTTTCAGAAAATGTTGTTTTATTCGTGTTTTCAAGAATCAACTTTATCGATAATCAACTTTATGACTCTTCCCGGCATGTATTGGCGAATAATAATACTATTTTTCATAATTGAGAGCAACTGACTGCTTTAAAGACACAATAACACTAAAGCTATTTCAGCAGATGGCGTTGTTAAGCCACCCGAAGCCACTTAATAATGCCTAAACGATCTTGGAATATTTAATCATTTTATCAATATGTAATTCGTATTTAAATATAATTTCTAAAAAACACAATTTACCAAAAAAAAAGAAAACGAGCAAAGGTCGGTCATCGTCTTGTAACCAATAAAAAATGATAACTAGTTTAGGCGCTCGAGTAATTCTGCTAGCGATACCGATTATAAGCACGTAAATACCGCGAACACTCTGTCCTGAGTAGTACCGAAGTCAAAGGGGCATGTGTGACGTCGTTCGAATGACCGAACCTCCCATTGCTCGTAAAACGGCCATTTGACCCCTTTAACCCGAGACACACTACTGTTTTTGCGGTGGAGGGACCTTGTAATTGCAACCCGAGACATTTTACCTAAATATAGTTGTTTTGCGGACCGCAGAAGTTTTGGACATGAGGCATTGTCAAGTTTAGTGGTATTGTAGTTGACGCCTGCGAATTTCACTAATAATTACGCTCGTAAATCAGTGAAAATATCGGGTGATATATTTATAGTCCGTGTAAATGGATCCTGGATAGTCCACCGAGCGAAAACCCGTTGGTCATTGGCCCGAATGGTGGTTCGAAGTCTCGTGGGTATAGACTACGGAAAGAAATTTGCTACTGCTACTGAGCTAGCGCTATGACCTCGAAGTGGGCCTTGGGTTCCGACAATAAGATTGCCATTCATCCTGGCGCTGCGCAACATCCCGGCAGTCCGACACTCGGAGCCCACGCAAATCCCTCTCCACAGCATCAGACCAGCAGTACTTGGGTCCCCCTACGAGGTAGCATCCCTCCGGTACACCCGCGTACACCCGTTTCACAGCCCGTATTACATGCCCGAGCCATCCGAGCCTACGTGCCTTCATCTCCCCCAGAATATTTGGCTCACCAAAAAGCCTCTCCACATCCTTATTTTTCCGGACGTGCCAAGAATCGTCTTCTCGACGACGGAAAGAAATGTGCTCTGCACTAATTATCCACCTTGCCGCCAGCCCGCGACGATTGAGAGTCTTATCCGAAGCTCGAACGTTGAATAACAGACAGCGTTAGCCGGTTTGACTGGAACATACCTCGCCTAAAGTCGTCAACGCGTAGCCAAAAGTTGGAGATTCTCTGTTGATCCAAAAAAAGAGGTTTAAGTGTTACAAACAACGTAAACCGATGGTACATATGATGGAATGTCATTAAAAACTCTGGCAATGCTTAAGGCGGAATATAATGCAATGCAAGGTGATGCATTTTACGGATTTCAACACACTTGCATTCGCTCATTAGCAAGTGGTAGGAGCGTATTAACTAAAAAAACTTGGTATTCTGTCGTAGACCAATTAATCGATTGGCTGGTTTTAGTAGTGATAGTGTGTGTTTAAGTCTTACGAGCAAAGATACCAGTATCATGTCTGTTTCAGCCGCGAAACATTCATGGGTTCATCTTTGAAATGTGTCACAGGCGTTGTAGGATATAAATTGACATAGACTTCATTTCTTAAGGTGACTGCTTGCATTCATAAGCTTGTTTCTTACTGGTGGTATGACCTCTTGTGGGTCGGTACGGGTAGCTACCACCACCCTACCTATTTCTGCCGTGAAGCAGTAATGCGTTTCGGTTTGAAGGATGGGGTAGCCGTTGTAACTACCTATATACTTGAGACCTTAGAGTATATCTCAAGGTGGATGGCGCATTTACGCTGTACATGTCTATGGGCTCCAGTAACCACTTAACACCAGGTGGGCTGTGAGCTCGTCCAGCGAACTAAGCAGTTAAAAAAAATTGTTTAACCATTGGACACCAGGTTGACCTTGAGCAGTACTGTCTGTATGAAGAAAATCAGGAGGCTTTAAGTCAAGATCGTTTCAAGTTATGTTGTTGTTCTAGGTACGACAGGGGTGGGCCAGATGAAATCTACGGATCCTGGGGACCGGGGCTGATGAAGATGACTCCGGCCGGTCTTTTGGTCTTCTCCTCGCTGCTGACCAGGACGCTATGTGTCATAGCTCCTCAGATACCAGGTAATTTATTGATGCTCTATTTACATTATATATTTTTTTATTGATTAGATGGGTGGACGAGCTCACAGCCCACCTGATGTTAAGTGGTTACTGGAGCCCATAGACATCCACAACGTAAATGCGCCACCCACCTTGAGATATAAGTTCTAAGGTCTCAAGTATAGTTACAACGGCTGCCCCGCCCTTCAAATCGAAACCCATTACTGCTTTACGCCAAAAAAAGACAGGGTGGTGGTACTCGCGCGGACTCTCAAGAGTTCCTACCACCAGTAAAATTTCGATACTTCTATTATTTTAGGCTGATAAACTATTATGGGGAGATTATTTGAGGATGTTAATAATATTAATATTTTGCCAGTTGTTATTTCTGAGCACCCATCACAACATAATGGTTCGGTATAGACATTAATGCCTCAATTCCATCTGTACAGCAACTCCTACTCTTACTCTTCTAACTACCATTCATAACAGAAGGCACGGGTGCTTCACAGCGGAAATAGGCAGGATGGTGGATATTCATTTCAGGTTTACTTTTATTACCGATGCGTTTGAATGCGATGACAACTCTTGCCAATAGGACAATATTTATACTTAATATTATAAAGCTGAAGAGTTTGTTTGTTTGTTTGAACGCGCTAATCTCAGAAACTACTGGTCCGATTTGAAAAATTATTTCAGTGTTAGATTGCCCATATATTGAGAAAGGCTATAGGCTATATAACATGACGCTAAGACCAATACAAACGGAGCACCAATAAAGGATGTTTCAAAATCGGGGCTTTTTTCCCTTTTGGGAGCTTCCGCTGTATGCGCTGCGGAAACGGCTAAAGTTTCGCTGAAATAAATGTATGAATTATCAGAATCGATTCAAGCATTCTCGAGAAATCGGTAAACATACATAGATAAAAAATGGTGGTCGAATTGACAGCTTCCTTTTTTGAAGTCGGTTAAAAAGTGTGATTTTGGTACCTTAAATAGCTCCTTAACATTAACTTAGCTGGACGTCCTTAACTGGACGGAAAACGAAAGCTGTGAATGCGGATGCCCAGAGCAAACTATACGCCACATTGTCATGGAATGTCCACTAACGAAATTCGCAGGCCAAGTGGAAGATATCACAAATGTAACAGAAGAAGCTATCGATTATTACACCAACTGTAAATTTAAATTATAACTACGCAGTGTAAACGAATGCCATACGATAAATAAATAAAACATTCTATTATTCAAAAATATTTTCACTTTCTACGTAAATGAAGTGGGGTGTAAAATTTAGCGTTATGCCAAAGTAACTATTCCACGCGGACGAAGTCGTGGACAAAAGCTAGTACTATATATGACGTGAAGCCGAAGTCTCATTTGTTCGACGTCGCCCAAAACACGTCATTAAGGATCCTCCCGATCCATTATCGGTGCTTTTAGGTACCACAAGCACCGGTCACCGTCCTCGTCGAACCCGTCGCTTGCGACGAAGGGCTCGACGAACGAATTAACCCATAGACACAGCCCACTGAGTTTCTCGCCGGATCTTCTCAGTGGGTCGCGTTTCCGATCCGGTGGTAGATTCTGCAAAGCACTGCTCTTGCTAGGGTCAGTGTTAGCATCACTCCGGTTTGAGCCCCGTGAGCTCACCTATTAGTAAAGGTTACGCTGAAATAGCCTCTCAAGGCTATCAGCTTAGGTAGGGAAAAAAATCTTATTTTTATGTCGGCTGTCCCACCCTTCAAACTATAACGAACGACTTATTCGTGCCAGAATTAGGCAGGGTGGTAATAGCACGCCCCTATCGCCGGAAAATGTGGATATTGGATCCGTTAGCGTAAGTGAGGAAACCAAGGAATTGATAGCAATATATTTAGGTTTGGTGTCTTCTAATTGTTTATTGATTTATGAATCAAAACCAAATGAGAAAAACAGAAAAACAGAAAGCAAACACGGAAGCGTTTTTTGGCGAAATCGAATGTCTATTCTGTATCCAAAGCTATAAATATTTTAAATGACTTAAGTAATTTGACTAGTGGAAATTCGACCATAATCACTGATAGCTCTTAAAGATTTTTACTGGTGGTAGGACCTCTTGTGAGTCCGCACGGGTAGGTACCACCACCCTGCCTATTTCTGCCGTGAAACAGTAATGCGTTTCGGCTTGAAGGGTGGTGCAGCCGTTGTAACTATACTGAGACCTTAGAACTTGGGTGGCGCGCATTTACGTTGTAATTGTCTATGGGCTCCAGTAACCACATAACACCAGGTGGGCTGTGAGCTCGTCCACACATCTAAGTAATAAAAAAAGCTCATGATTTAGATTTCTTTTATATCTTATATTTGTTCTTTTGTTTTTTATTGGGAAAAAACCACTCACTCTTGATAAATAAATACTAAAAAGTCAATACACAAAGTTGTACTTCGGTGTGTTTTCTTTCGTTAGTTACAATATTAAATCTATATATTAATACGTGAAGCAAAAACTTTCTATCCCTTTTTACGAAAATTGCGCGGACAGAGGAGTATGAAATTTTCCACACTTATGGAGAATAAATACAGAGAAATATTGCAGAATGTTAATATTTTTTTTAAATCATGCATAAAAATACACTAAATCAATAAAAAAAAAACATTACACATACTACCGTGTATTTGACACACACACGCATGCATAATAAATGTTTGTTGTCAAACTTTTCTTATTGCTTATAGTCTGTGGTCAAATTGAGAATAGATTAAAATTAAAATTTGTTTGTCTTTATTAATATTTGTCTAAAGTGTAATCTTGGTGAAATCTGTGATTATAGTAAAGGCTTTGACAATAGAATCATTATAGTGTACAAACTTATAATTTCAATTAATTATAGTCGAATTTTGATTATCGGGGACGGGGAATGAATATGTTAGAGGAAGTCTAAAAGTGGCACCTGTGACAGAGAAGCTGAGAAGTGCGCGTTTGGGATGGTATGAACATGTGATGAGACGAAATGAAAATGAGGTTGCTAAGAAAATGTTAACTATGAATGTGGAAGGATATAGAGGAAGAGGTAGACCTAAGAAGAAATGGATGGATTGTGTGAAAGACGATATGGGGAGTGAGCAAAGAAATGGTATATGATAGAAGAGTATGGAAGGAGAAAACATATTGCGCCGACCCCAGGTAACTGGGAGAAGGGCAGGATAATGAATGATGATGATTTGATTATCGGGACCACTAGTTATATCTTATTCGTCCATTAAGAACCTCTGTCGTCACGCTACATACGAGATTTAGTAGAACTGATTATAAAACAAACAAAAAAGTTAGTAAGATTTTATGACGTTACTTCTACATTTTTATATTTTGAAATAGTTCATAAGGTTTATTTAGATGCATCGTTCGTCTGACTTTCATTATTTCTTTTAAACTTTGCTTCGTAATAGCGTTTAGTTCAAATAGAAGCAGTTTATTTCGTCTGCATGTAAACTCTTGCATTTGAACGCGAGGTAAATTATTTATTCTAATTTAAAACAAAGGCACGTAATGTTGGATTTAAGCTCAAAATCTTATTAAAATGCAGTTTGAAATCTATATATTAATACATGAAGCAAAAACTTTGTATCCCTTTTTACGAAAATTGTACGGACGGAGGAGTATGAAATTTTCCACACTTATAGAAAATATAGAGAAGAAGTGCACAATGCTAATATTTTTATAAAATAATGCATAAAAGATACATTAAATCAATAAAGAAAACATTTTACATACCATGTATTTGACGCACACACGCATGCATACTATTTACTGTCAAACTTTTGTTCTTGACGTCTGCTGTCAATTTGAGATTAAATATTGTTTGTCTTTGTTAATATTTTTTATAGTGTAGTCTTGGTGAAATTTGTGATTATAGAAGTATAAAATACAATCATAATAGTGTACAAACTTACAATTCCAATTAGTGATAGTCGAATTTCGACTACTGCGGGACCTCTACTTCACATAATATCTTCAACAACTAACGGCCACTGTTGTTAAGAGCTTTTAGACATCACAATATTTATGTCACCACCCTTCAAACAGGAATGTGTGACTGCTTCGTGGCAGAAACAGCTAGCATTGTGGTATTTACCCATGCAGGCTTACAATACGTCTTACCAGTAATGTTTATTTTATAAATACCAATTGTCTCGAAAGGAATTTATTTTTTTATTGCTTACATGGGTGGACGAGCTCACAACCCACCTGGTGTTAAGTGGTTACTGGAGCCCATAGATATCTACGACGCGCGCTACTAAATGCGTCACCTACCTTGAGATATAAGTTCTAAAGTCTCAGTATAGTTACAACGGCTGCTCCAAACTTCAAACCGAAACGCATTACTGCTTCACAGTAGAAATAGGCAGGGTAGTGGTACCTATCCGTGCTGACTCACAAGAGGTCCTACCACCAGTAAAAGCTTTAAATTAAGTATCCAATCTATAATAATTAGATTTCTTTACACTTTAAAGTACTACCTTTTACAGTCAGCGGTGACCTATTCCCACATAAATATACCAAAAAAGCTGTAACATAAGTCAAACACTACATAAAACTGTATTAAGATACTTTGGTATAGTAGATGTTAAGAAACTTGATATGATTTTCGCATTTATATTGTTAGGCACTGGGGTTCGGGATGAATAAAATCCCATCAAAGTACAACTAAAAACTGTATTCAACACTTAGAACACTTAAATCACTCAACAAACACTTTAAAATTCTCAATTCAGTTCTTCCGCTTCGCTTCAAGTGATCCGCTTCGAGTAGTTCCGATTACTAACTGTGTGCGTGCCATCTCTGCAACGCTTTTATAGCCGATACCACATCCCTAGAATTATTGAGAATATTCCACACATCTCTAGTATTGTGTTTCCGCTATCTGAAAATAGATGGCGTTGTACTTCTCGAGCGTTCTAGGTGCTAGTAGGTCCTTCTATATTCGTTCGACTATTCGGCGATAGATGGCGTTACTCTTACCGGCGTAACAATATGTTCCATATAAATTTAGTGGGTTTTCCCACAGATTTCAAGATCGGTGACAAAAAAGTAATCAACGGCCCGTTCTGGCATGAAGTCTTCACGGAAACGTATGAAGAACACGAGGAAGACCTTTCGACTACCACTTCGGAGCCTTTGCCTTTTTTTGAAGACGATACTTCGACTAGTAACCTGACAGCGCAGCTCGGCAGTAGAGTTCACCTACATTGCAGGGTACATGACTTGGGAGAGAAAACGGTGAGTAGCTTAAATGTTGCTCTTTCCTTTCCACAGAAAATCCACAGGCTTGTAGTAAAACTTCTTAAATTGCGTCATAAGCAAAGTAACCTTTTTTTATTGCTTAGATGGATGGATGAGCTTACAGCCCACCTGGTGTTGAGTGGCTACTAGAGCCCATAGACATCTACAACGTAAATGCGCCACCCACCTTGAGATATAAGTTCTAAGGTCTCGCATTAGTGCTTCATGGCAGAGGTCCTGCCTCCAGTAATTACGCAACTTATAATTTTGCGGGGTTGATTTTTATTATACGATGTTATTCCTTCACCGTGTAAGTCAATCGTGAACATTTGTTAAGTACGTATTTCATTAGAAAATTTGATACCCGCCTGCGGGATTCGAACACCGGTGCATCGCTAGATACGAATGCACCGGACGTCTTATCTTTTAGGCCACGACGACAACGAAATCCAGATAGGCAACTTCTCCCTCACTTAGCCCATCAACTGTGCCATTCATAGATCTTCTCTTTCTTACAGATATCCTGGGTCCGTCGTCGTGGCGACGAGCTTCACCTCCTATCATTCGGACGCCATACATATTCAGCTGACTCCAGATACTCTTTAGCCTTCGAGCACCCTAACGATTGGCGTTTACTGATACAGTACGTGAGCGATAGAGATGAAGGCTACTACGAATGTCAAATTTCGACGCATCCGCCGCTTGTGAGGAGAGTTCATTTGGGTGTTGTGGGTAAGTTAAAGTATGCAAGAGTCTTTCATAAACAAAACCAATCGCAAAATTTCGCAAAGAAATCCTTAGGTCACTAAATTTGGTCCTTTTGAATTTAAGGCTTTCAACAAGAGCTTGTAAGGAGATATACTGCAAAGGGAAGATCTTCCACCGAGCGGGTGTAATTGCTCGGTAGACCGACGGTCCGAATGTTGTTGTTCGGAACTTGTATATATTGCAAGCTTATCTTGAAAATGTCGTAAGTGAGATTCAGGCACATGTCAAATATCTAGTGTTGTATAATGGCTACCACCACAAGCTCTTTGAGGCTCTTTTGCGATAGGCAGCGGCTTGACTCTGCCCCTGGTATTGCTGAAGTCCATGGGCGACGGTAACCACTCACTATCAGGTGGGCCGTATGCTCGTCTGCCTACAAGGGCAATAAAAAAAAAGCATGAAATTGTTAAGAAATCGATGCGTGCTCATTTATTACAATAGAGGTATTTAGAAAAGACTAAAACACTCAAAATTATTCAAGTAACAAATAAGAAAGATTTTGTTTCCTAGCTGTGTTTGTTCGTGAATAAGGATCTTCCCGCGCGAAGAATCATGACACAATCGCACGAGTTTAAGTACACTGGTGTGTTAGAGCACTCCCGTAGTCTCTGACGTGATCTCCTGGTCTCTGTACCCAACTATCCGAAGACTGGCCCAAACTTATCTGTAGTACCGCTTTCTCTAGTTATATTTCGTTGGAATATTTCTGGGATAACAACCTCTTCAGACTATCAGATTTCGGGTAATATGGTTGCATTTCTTTAGATTCATTCCAAAGTCTCTTTATTAATATATAAATACCTTAGGTCCTTAAGAATAGAGGCGTTTGTCCCTTGAATCATCAGAATAGATCGTAAAAAGTACTTTCATTATTCTTATCCCTACTCTCGTATATTTTGTAAAGATGGAAGCTTTTACGTAATTACAGAACAGAAAGCAGACGTAATAAATCATTAGTGTTAAATTTGGTGCGGTAATATGGATACCCTTTTATTTTAGCAAGCGCTTATGAAAATTATGGGTAATATAAAAAAAAGATATAGTTTGTTTATTGTAGATAGATATAGACTGACTCGGTAGTACAGTAGTTAGACCTTGACTGTTGTGCCGAGAGTCGTGGGTTCGATTCCCACATTGGGCAAACATTGTGTGATGAACAGGCTGTTTGCTCTTTATCTGGTTACTTACTATCTATATATAGTTATATATATATATATATATATATATTTAAATGTATATAAGTATGTATGTCAGTCTCTGGTGCCCATAATACAGGGAATCAATAATTCATCTTGAGTCCGCACGGGTAGGTACCACCACCACCCTACCTATTTCTACGGTGAAGCAGTTATGTGTTTCGGCTTGAAGGGTAGGGCAGCCGCTGTACTCTTAAAACTGAGACCTAGACCTAGACGAGAGCAGCGACGAGTCCTGGCAGGCGATGCTCGACTTCTGCGAGTCCACCATCTCGCAGAAAGAGGCGGCGGAACGGGAGAGGGAGAGCTCTTCTTCCGTGCCGCCGCTGCCGAGCCGGGGGCCGGAGGAGGGCGTTTGTCCAGCTCCAGCCCCTATGAGGAGGCAGTCTACTCCCGGTGATGGTCACGGGGCGACCTAAGGGGGTTGAGACTACGCCGCACGCTACCGTTATTCTAGCGCGCTGGCACCAGGAGGACGGGACGACGCGTCAGTGGCTGCGGATTGCGATGCGGTCCGCATTTTGTCGACGCTGTCGTCGCCGAACATACTGTGGAAGAGCAACCCGGTCGGCGGTGTATCGCAGTCCGACCCGGCTGTCTGGTTCTGGCCCAGCGGGGTATTCCAGAACTCTGGCGGCCTGGTGGGGCCGCCGTATCGCGGAGACCGACGTCGTTGGTCGTCGTCTATCGCCTCGACTACCCATCGGTCGAGCGTCCTCGGGGTGGCGCCGCATGTCTGGTTGTAGTGTTGACCGCGGGAACCCCCCTACTCTGACCAGGTTTTGACCCCGGACGGAGATCGGACGTCGGGTGTAAGAGTGCAGGGGAGTCGTTTAGTGGGTAGGGCCCTAAAATTCCTTGGGCCCGTGGTCTGCTCCCAACACCTTGCAGGTCGTCGAGTCCCACATACCCTGCGCGTCCCCTAGGCGCGGGGACCTCGTAGGAAGTTCGGCCCCCGGCCTGAAAAAAAAGGCTAGTGTGTCTTGATCGAACCAAGATCCAAGAGTGATGTCTTTTATATATGAAGCGATGCCCTCATTGCTGGTCACATAGGCCACTCAAGTTGTGCTGACAGTGCGCCTCGTGTCAGGCGACGGTCGTTGCCCAGAAAATGCATACTGGTGGATTCCATGCATTAGCCTTGCGCAACACTGGTAGTGGCTGTTACCAGAAAGTGCATGTGGGCTATTTTCATGTACTAGCTTTGCGTAACACATTAAATAATAAAAACCGTATAATGAATAGATTAATAATAATAAAAATAGATTAATAATAATAAAAATAGATTAATAATAATAAAAATAGATTAATAATAATAAAAATAGATTAATAATAATAAAAATAGATTAATAATGATAATTGAAGTCGTCGTGGCCTAACGGATAAGACGTTCGGTGCATTTGTGTTGAGCGATGCAACGGTGTTCGAATCTCAGGCGGGTACCAATTTTTCTAATGGAATACGTACTCAACAAATGTTCACGATTGACTTCCACGGTGAAGGAATAACATCGTGTAATAAAAATGAAACCCGCAAAATTACGCAGTTACGTTGTGGATGTCTATGGGCTCCAGTAACCACTTAACACCAGGTAGGCTGTGAGCTCGTCGACCCATCTAAGCAATAAATAAATAATAATAATAATAATAATAAACAATTAAAGTTGTCATGGTTTTTTCGGTTCATCCATTCGTTTCTTTTTCGCATGTTAGCCCTTTAGAGGACATCGGGCATCGGAATAACCACTTCTCGCTGTTTTGGCTCGGTCCCAAATCGCGGTGTAGCCAAACCTCAGAATTCCATCTCGGGCGTTTTCCCTTTAATCTAATTCAAATTTATCCTGTTCAGGACGACCCGAAGATTTTCGGTAGGCTTGGTTTTAGACTCTTTGTTCACTATCGCGTTAATGATTATTTTTGGGCTTCGTTTGATTTTAATTGATGACAAATAAATTATGCATCATACATTTACCATTTACTGGTGGTAGGATCTCTTGTGAGTCCGCGCGGGTAGGTACCAACGCCTTGCCTATTTCTGTCGTGAAGCAGTAATGCGTTTCGGTTTGAAGAGTGGGGGGGAGGTAGCCGTTGTAACTAGACTGAGACCTTAGAACTTATAACTCAAGGTGGGTGGCGCATTCACGTTGTAGATGTCTATAGGCTCCAGTAACCACTTAACACCAGGTGGGCTGTGAGCTCGTCTACCCATCGAAGCAATAAAAAAATACGTATTTAATTGCATTGAATCAGTAATGCGATGCGATTTGAAAGGTGTCGGAACCATTGAAAATTTCTTATAAATGTAAAAGCTGAGATCTTAAAACTCAAGTTTCAAGGTGGGTGATGGCATTTACGTTGCTAATGCCTATGGGCTCCGGTAACCACTTAACAACAGGTGGACCGTGAGCTCGTCCATCCATGTAAGCAATAAATAAAAACGTATTCAATTATGATGATTTATTATGAGTAAGTAACATTTTAAATAATTTTTTAATTAGGTATTTTCCATCCAAGATAATAATATAGTTGCTTCTTATTTTCTTGAGGGAGGGAATGTTTTTTTTTTTTTTTAAATACTTACTAACAATCACGCCACGTTAACTGGTCCCGTGATAAGTTCGTAAAGAAGTTGTGTTACAGGTACCAGATAACGGATATAAATGTAAGATTTTTATTATACACATACATATATTTAATATACATCCATAACCCTGGAAAAGACATTTATATTTATCATACAAATATCCTCCCTTGGCGGGATTCGAACCCGCGACCCCCTTGTGTAGTGACCATGTCACTTACCACTACACCAGACGGTCGTCAAAAAACTTTTGTTTCCTAACCCTCCTTCTTTTAAGGACGAATGTTGAGTAATTGGTGCAAGCAGCAGCTCACATAATAAGCATCATCTGATTAACAGTCCAATAATTATTGTCACTAGTGGCCCCGCAGTAGTCGAAATTCGTCTATAATTAATTGAAATTATAATTTTAAACATTAATATGGCTCTACTGCCAAACACTATTATAATTCGATAATATAATTACAGTGTTCGCCAAAACTGCACTATAAATCAATAATATTAAATACAAACAATATTAATCTATTTCCAATTCGTCCACAGACTTTAAACAATAACAAAAGTTTCCCAATTGACAGTAAACAAAGAGTATATTTTCATGTATGTGTTGTGTCAAATACATGGTAGTGTGTGTAATGTGTTCTTTATTGATTTAAAGTATCTTTTATGCATTATTTAAAAAAAAATATTAGCATTGTGCACTCCTTCTCTATATTATCTATAAGTGTGAGAAATTTCATACTTCTCCGTCCGCGCAATTTTCGTAAAAAGGGCTACAAAGTTTTTGCTTCACGTATTAATATATAGATAATATACAATCTTTAACCACGAAATCGTCAAGCTATTTTATTTAATGTGAGATCCATTCGCTTGCTAAGTTTCTCTGTATTTTCAATTTAGATATAAAGGGTTCATTTCAATTTTAATCCCGTCAGAGCTGTCCTCTTCGAAGACTTATGAGACACCTCGTGCAGAAAAATATCACAAAGAGTCACGATATGAGACGCGATAATGTGATGCATACATCATTTATGCATTTTCATATTATGCGAGTTTTATGTATGAGTAGTCGTCAAACGACGCTGTTGTTTTCATTTAGATATTATATTCGTATTTTCTTTGAATATATGATGCGAAGTCAGAATTTGTAACCTCTGAGTGAAGGTAGATGAGAATGTGTTTTAAAGC